AATCACGATGTAATGATGAGGTACGAGCATGCAAAAATTAGATAAAACTCCTAGACGATTTTTGAGGTCTTTGGTTCACCCACCCTCTAAAAAAGTTTTGAAGCAGCTAAAGCGAACCTACCATGAACCAACTCCATCGCAGCCGTCGATGATGTTCCATCCTTGACAAGGGATAACCTGCCATCCCTTGGAACCCTGCTTATTTGTGACTGCATGTCGAACCTAAAAGGAAGAGACTTTTCATTTGAAAAGTGCATCATTGAAGAAGAGCGAACCTCAAGATCCATTTCGATTTTGTCCACTGGCAAGTCCTCTGAGACATCCATAGTAACGTTGAAGAAGATTGGACCAGGGAATCTTGGATAGTCAGGCCAGATGACGATGTTGGAAACGTTGACCACATAATTCGTCCACTGAAATATCGTATCTCTGCATTGGTTGATTGAATATGTGAAACCTTGCAGGTCCGCACGTCAGTAGTGCTAATATCTGATCTTCCCCTCCCCCGCCCCCTCCTCTCACCCCTCTACCTACTTCCTTGGATTGACGGCATGTACTTTGCTGCAAAGTCCAGTGCTTTGCTACCAAAAACGTTTGCCAATTTCAAAACAATTCCTATAATGGCGAAATCTGAGTACTTCCGCGGAAAAAAAACAATATTAAACAGAGACCAGATTTTTTTTGCAAAAGCTTCATGAGTTTGTATCTTCTGGAACGAATTTCTCGCTTCAAAATTCTCTTTTGCAGCGGGACTTGAACTATTACTTAGTTAGGGACGCTATTACACAGCATCAAAATCACACCATCCTCAACTTGGATGGAGGCTTCAAAGACTAGTGAAAGAAAGAATCTATACGAATTTCATTTGGCCGAATCACTTAAATCATTGTCGAATATTATGAATCGATTTTGACTCTAATGTACGAAATGAAGACTCAGTAAAAATAATTATTATTTTAGTGTCAGGTTCTATAGATCTCGATAAGCAGTCCCCACTCAGCTAATATCGAAAAAGTTGACATATGCTCTTCCATCGTCTTCCGACTAGCGGAATCGCGCAGATGTATAAAAACTACGCCGTATCGATTGGAGATGTTCAGCAGAGGAAAAGAAAAAACCGGAAAGGAAATTTCACGCACAGATTTCCAAGACTAATATCTAGAGTATAAAGCCGTCAAATTTATTATTATCTGAGCACACTTCGTCTTCTTTCCACTACATCTAACTTATCACGATTCTATCCCTTTCGTGCGACTATACGTTTAGATCGAGCTATTTTCATAGGAGATATATTATACAGTATCTCCGATATATCCCTCTGACACCCTTTCCCATGATAATCCCACCGCAGAACTGCGTCAAAACTGATCCGAGAAGTTTTTCTCTCGCATCATGTTGCTTATGAGAAGTGAGATAATGTGGCGATCGAGCGAATGAAGAAAAAAACTCACCTGCTCACTAGCACATCTACTAAATTGCCAGCCCCGGATTACGACACCATGCGGTCCCGTTTGGTATTTTTCCCAAAATGGTTGCACTCCTGGAAGAGCCTCGTTCCAGGCTTTAGTCAGTGGGGACTGACATAAAGCCAGCGGGAAGAGGGTGAGGAGCAGGAGGAGCATCCTGTAAGGGATTTGGTTTTCCATTTTCCGAAAATAAAACTTACGAAAGGAGAAACAGAGGTTATGAAAGAGAATATAGTGGTCAGAGCTTGTATTAGCGACAAGGATGTGTGGATTTGGAGGCAGTTTGTCAGTCTCTCAGGATCAGGTTAGGCGAGCTACGTCATATTCGGTCTGATAGAGGGGGGCTATCTTCACACACACACACATCTGTGTTAGGGAGGAACGGGAAAACTTGCTTCGAAGTGTCTCCGAAACAAGTTTGTTTGCTTGTTATGAAAGCGATCAGTACGATAGGGCTTAGAAAGAGCCTCATTTGGTGGCAAGTTTGAGGAAGTAGTGGACATCTTAAGCTGGGAAAGGAATTAACAAGTTTTCTAGATGAGATATGCCGAAAATAGACATGGAATGAAAGCTGCAGGAGAAACAAGGGGAACTTGAAGTCCATAAAAAATAGTGCTGTGGTTATGGAAAGGAAACTTCGCCAGAAGAGGGAGTTTTGGTACAGTTCACAAAATCCGCGGGAATTTCCGCGTGGCAAGAAATATTTGTAGCAATTCCAAATGTTTTTGTTTATTTTCACTGGAGTTTGAGCACAAGGGAAGCTTTTTGCGCTTAAAAGTCTTGCCTCAGAATCTTGCGAAAGTCCCCAGCGAAAGGGGAACTTCCGCAAGATCTAATGCCAGACGTTGAAAACGGCAACTTCCGCAGTACTTTCCTCAAAGGGCTTTGGAAGGTTCGTTTCCTGAATGGCGAAATTCCCGATCAAATGTCTTGGAGATGCAAGCTTGGCTACACAACAAAAAAATTTACGAAAAATCTGGAAACAAATCTGGAAAAATGTTGGGATAATTCAGACCTTTGCTAAGAAACCCTATAGAAGGTCATAGAGCTGTGGTTTAGGTCTAATGAGATTATCGGAGGGATCTATGATCGCGCTAACCTAGAAAAAACTTGCGTCTTGACCGGAATGTTGCACCCGGGTTTTTCTTAGCAAAATTAACGCTAATTTTAAACCATTTGACTGGGTAAACCGAAATGAGAGGTGCTTGAATTGTACTAAACATTTTTGAAAACTTTTTGATCATGCAGAACTTCTAGAAGGGGCTGGCAGGCATAATTTGAAATTTCAGAATGTGTCCTCGGAAGAATTTGGGAGAGAAAGTTCCGTAGCTTTGGAAAGGAGAGTCAACTCCTGTTTGATTTCCCAGGAACAAAGTCTGCGCACCAGGTGAAAGCTGTGCCGAATTACGGAAACTTGAATTTTTTCTAGGTTACGGGGCTAAAGAAGCACACAGACCACCCAGCGTAGTCTCGAACTATATCTATCTCTATAAAGGACGTTAAGAAAGCAAGTAGTAGAGAGAAGAAGAAAGGGCTGTAATTGGGTCACCAGACGGGGGATAGTCAGAGATAGATCGATTGCTAGAATAAGACCGATATATAATTGCATGCACGTCAGGGCGGGGGCCAACTGGGGCTGAACTCCGGGGGGGGGGGGGGTACTGTGACAGATCCACCGCACCCCGACAGGAGACTCAGAGATTGTAAGAAAAGAACGTAAACTGTCTTTGTCAGCTCAACACATCGGGCCGTGGACGCCCGTAGTGTGGAAAACTGCGCGTAGCACCGTGTCCAGGGGCGATAAAGGAACTTGCAATCTGGAAAGTGGAAAAAGTGGTTGAAGGGGGCTTCGAAAGCAAGGTGGAGGACGATGACACACGATTTGGCTGGTTTTACAGGCGACACCGGCCGAGTGGGTGAAGGTCGTTAGGAAACATTTCGAACGACGACCGCCATGTTCCTTCGAATCTGCGCTGTAGAATTTTGTAATGGATTATGTTTTGAATTACCTTTTTTAGAAAGCATTCATTGAATCTACTTCTCAGCTGTTGTCTCGTAAAAAACTTAAATAAAAGTCCTGTAAAATTTCTGATTTTTTGGCCTTCATACTTGCTCTCATTTTGTTCGCAAAATAGGCTGCGACTTCTGGAGATAAAGGCCCCTAGTTGTTTTCATCGTTCCCCTCTCAAACACTTTTAACTTTTATGCAGTCAGTTTTACTAGCAAATAAACTATTGCGTGGTTCTGCATGTAGCGTTTTCTATAACCTTCTTTTGCTTCAACCACTGTTTCACACGAAAAGTGAGCTACAAATTCGTCTGCTATAGTTGTAGTCTTCATTGCTACTCGAAATTTGCAATTTTATGGTAAGTTAAGGTTGAATGCTGATTTCTTATTTGAAGCGGTTTGTGCTCTTTTCCATGAATAATCTAGGAATATACTGAATGGACATTATTGATCAATTGTCTTAATATAAAGCTGAATGTGTGTCTGTCTGCGTGTCTGTGTGTACGTATGTTATAAACAGAAATCTTTAGAACTGATCCGGACGAAACTTGGCACACATACACTTCGGGGAGTGTGTCGTGAGCTACTTTTCGTTGTCAATAGATATTGATTTTATCGATTTTTATCGATTTTTTGCTTAGTTGGGCCTACGGGGTTAGGAGTTGGCACAGGGGTTAAGCGAGCATGCTGATTACAATTACAATATTAGCTTTTAGAATTATTTATTACTTTTATTAATTTTGTCGATTTTTTGCAAAGTTTGATCTGGCTGGGAGTCGGCATGGGGGGGGGGATATGTATGCTGATTACGAATATCACACCCCGTTTGTAGAATTACCCATTACTTTTATTTTCATCGTTTTTTTTTTTGCAAAGTTTGAGCTACCAGAGTGGGAGTTGGCAAAAGGAGGTAATCCAGCATGCTGATTACTAAAAAGCGGGAATAGTGAATTGGCATGTAGAAGTGTGTACAGGGAAAGGTTGTACGGACATAGGATGGTGACATTGACCATCCTATGTCTGTATGTCATCCATAATGTTTTGACAAGAACGGCGGAGCCGGGTATGCCAGCTAGTGTCAACTCATTTCTCTGTTATCATTTTGCTCTTCGTGATAGTCACTTTCCTGATAGTTTCTTTCTTCTTGCAGCACATAGGTTGATCTTATTTTTTTCTGGCTATTTTTTTACGGATGCATCCTACCAGCATAGCTCTTGCTCTCAATCTCTTCAAAATTTGTAGGCTCCTATTATCATGCTTTTTAGGCATGAATTTTACTGTCACGCTAGTTTTGCTGATATAAACCAGAAAGAATAATTTATTCTATGTCTCTTCTTGTGTGATTTGCTGGCTGTTCATCTTACAGAATTTGTCATGATCAATTAATAGGTGTTTCAATTTTCTAAAGTATTATTTTCACTTACTACATCAATCGCTCTTGATTTGAAACAATTCACCAAACTCCACCGGAGTTCACCGAAATTCGCGTATCTATGATATTATACCATATCATGGTTCAGAGTGGTCAAAATCTTAATTCAAGGGCACTGGTCACTCAACTCGCGAGAAATATCTTATGAAAGAAAATGTCGTTGGATGCGATAGATGCAGGTAGTCGGTCGGTTTCACAAATCTTTCTAGGTTTTTGCTTACTGTTAATTACTCAATGTGCTTAGGCATTGCACGCTAAGTAACCTATCGTTGGCAAAAATCCAAAAAGGTTCATGGAATTTGACCGCCGCACTATCCAAATGTCCAAGGGGGCACTTCATATTTGAGAAAATGCGCCTTGGCATATTGCGTCAAAGGGGGTCCCTTAACCTAGAACTTGTTTACTCTGAACCAAGGTACGGCAATGCGGCGCGGATCCCGGTGAAGTTCAGTTAAGTTCGATAAGTTTTTTATATTTATAAGCGGTATTGTATCTCCAATCTTTCACATACTTTGTGTGAATCTGTACAATCGAATCTGCTATATAAGACAGTCTTGGCCCTGTGCCATTCTAGTAACCATTTCATCTAATGTTATCTGATTGCATTACAGATTAGTACAAGAAGTTTCTTATATGACGAACGCTACAAGAAGTGGATGTCTGATATAATGACCAGTGCAGGAGAAAAAGTAGATGGCAAATACTTCTGCTTGTCTGCGAAACTTTGCATATGCCTCAAATGACTTCGGCCAAGCTTCCGGAGAGAGAATAATCAATGTATAGCTAAAGCCATTTTATAGATAGTGATAATTCTATGAATAATAATAATTTTGTTGGTAAATGATCTTGTAAACAAATATGTAATTTTATTAATGATTTCATTTCTCTAACAAATAGCTGGCCTCTATTGCCGGCAATTTGCGCATGCGCGTGCACAATCCGGCGGTGCAGGCGTGGCTATTTGTTTACGCGCAAATGTTGTCGGCAAATCTCAACACTGCAAGGACGCTATATTATTGTCAGATCTACTAGCCTACATGCAGAAATGCTAGTTTTTATAACGTACAACAACGCTAAGCTCTCTGTTTTAGAAAAACTGGGTAAACCTTTATTCTCACTTTATTAACTTTTATGCTTTCTTAAAATTTTCTCTTGCGCATATATTCACCAAATAGGTAGGTCATAAAGTATTGCCTGTGCACTGTAGAGAATTCAGTTTATCACTAGCACTTAGAGATCCGGGTGAGTGGATGGTGTGTAGCTGACTCTCATAATGGTGCGTCGGTTCCACTAGTACGCCTTCCAAACTTTTTGGAACTTTGCCTGACTCCGATCTATAAGTTTCAGCTAGCTAAATGCGTCGAAAATGTTTTTTTAAGATGAGAAGCTGATTTTTGGACTTATATAGTACCCCTGTGGCCAATCTTGCAATCCGGGCCATCCACGTCCATGAGCGGAGTCACTAAGCTTTCGGACATTCTTTTCGTTTTGGGATTCATCTTTTGCAGCGACGTTTGGGCCATTAAAATTTAAATATCGCCTAATTTACCGAAAATGCTAGAATAATACAGACTACTTAATTGCAACTCTTTATAAAACTCGTATTATTTGGTTCGTGGATCTGTACGCATTTGTTAAATAATACCCAAAAGGGCTAGTTCACGCTACCAATAGCAAGAATGTAGCGAAGGCTTGCTAGTTAAGTGACCTGATGATATATAGTAACTTTTTTAGCTTGATAAGAATACTGGAATAAGTTCGAATTAGCAGCTTACATTACTGAACTCAGTCTCTAAATTCATATACATGTAAGCAAAAGGAATTTCTTGTGTGCATTATTTTGCTCCGTACACACACATCGTTGAACGTCCATAACAATTCGCAGAAAGCGAACCGCCAACAAAAGAGTGAAAGGAAAGCCGGATAACAAGATTTGAATGTCACGTTGGCGTGGGAGCACATTATATTTAGTAACGCAACTGCTAATATTTCCTCTAACAATATTGACCCAAATATTCGAGAAGTTTTGGATATCCTCAGTGAAAGTAGTCCTAAAATTTGATTTCTTGTGTCAGAAACACATTTTTAAAAGATGTGAGCAGCTTCCTTGCTGCTCGTAGCAAACTTTAGCTTAAGCTTTTTATAACTGCTAATCCACTTTTGATAACATAAAAATCTCAAAAGTCCAGTTATTCTTATAATTTTTTCCGTACAATTTTTGCCGCTTTTAACTGCTCGGAATTTATGCAAACCAGATTCCCCGCACTTGGCTTAACGCCATGAAGCATAAAATCGTCTACGTTGAGTTTTCGCTACATTTTATCGCCATTTCTGCGTTCACAGCTTAATTTTATTGCATTGAATTGAATTCGCCAAATTGACCATCATTTCTTTTTACAAATTTTTACAAAAGCTTGTGTGTATCTTTGACGGAATTCTCAACTTTGTTTCATCAGCCTCCCTGGACTGCGCTGCCTCTATTGAATAATAATTTGTACTGTGGTGTATCTTATCTGCCTCATCGTAATCCAGTTTATCCAGCGTCAAGCTTTTTTTTTGAATCTTCGTAAGTACTCTGAGAGCTTCGAGTTATCTCATTAGCGTAGATTATTGGGCATTTTGATCATTGCTCCGAATTTAAATTCCGTCTGTGGACGAAGATGTGTGCACTTTTCTTAAGCATAATGATATTTGCAATTTCAAGCATAAAGTTAATATTGTAGTTGCATTTCGTACAAACGGACCATTGAAAGATTCTGAATTTGTGGTAATTTAGGCCGTTTCTTGCGATGGGGGTCAGAATAGGTTACCCCGTAACGCTAGTCCAGCTATTAATTTTCAATATCGTTAGCTATTAATTACTAGCAAACTACTTTTTTTTATGATTCTCGTCATTGGTTATGCCCTATTCCGCCTAATTAATCAAGAGTCATATAATAATAACTATAAAAACGTCCGTTCCATATGGTTTATTACCAGTTTTGCTCACAGTGGCATATTCCGGTGAATCCAAGCCGTAGATATTAAAACGAAACTTGAGCTCTCCTTAGTCATCTCTTTAACACATTCAATACGGTCCACCGGTGGGTCGTACGTATTTTGCCGTTCCGGACAATACGACCCATGAGTGGGTCGTAAGTTTGATAAAGCGGAAAAGGCTCTGGTCCGAAACGGCATTAATCGAAAAATCGGCCTTGTCGTAAATGTATTAAGTAATAATTGATTTCAATGCTCTCGTATATGGTCACAGGACTGCGTTTAGAGCAACAAGTCCTTCATACTAAATCCATCATTTTGCCTTTCTTTTGTTTCCCCATGCTTTTCAAAATGTCTTCTGTACTCTTTAGAAATTGCTTTCTTATACGGAGATCGAAGACGTCTTCGAGATGCACTGCTTTAGGTCATTGTGACGCAAAACTTTTCTGCATAATTGCCCTTAAGAACAAATCTCGAAAAGTGCAAACATTTTCGCGGGCGGCATTTGAAATATTTTTGTTCCCGATTCCGCCAAAATCGTTTTCGAAGCAATGACTGGAGGATCTCTTAACCTCTCCCGGATCTGGATTTTTAAGACTTGGATTTTAATGCATTTTGAGTGGCCGACTGACGTAAAGATGATCTTTTTACTTGGTTGAGATTCTAGATTAAAGTAGCCCGCAATCAAGAAAAATGTTGGAGCTTCTGTTCTTACAATTTTTGATGGTAAGAATGAATTTTCTTCAAGCCAATAAAACTATCTCCAACACGATCTTGCGTGCATCTGCATACTTAACAAGCTAATCCTCCTTCCTTCTCCTGCTTAAGCCATGCCATATGCAATTTTAAAGGTTTTTTGAAAGTGTGCTGCTGTTCCTACTATGCGCAAGCTCTCGCTCTATATAAAGAAAAATATTAGGTCCTCCCGAAAGTTCTTTCGCACTAAATTCAAAAATTCACAACTTCTAATTTCAACCGATTTGACTGCTTTGATTTTTATATGAAAGAGTAGTTCATGCTCTTTATAATGACATCTTAGCTACTTATAATGATCATCTGTTGTATAGATAGGATCGGTAGAAGGAAGAAAATTAATCAAAATTCGAATTTTCTGTGTAGGGTCACAGAAAATCTGAAACTTGCGATAAAAGTCTGAGCAGTTGGTATCATAGGTTCTATTAATTGCTTTTTCTAGCTCTGTAAAGCTTATGCTGATTGAACGTCTCTATCGAAAGTTATGATTTTCGAGAAAGATGTCAAAATAAATCAAAATTGCCGTTTGCATGGCTTGCTCGAAAATCATAACTTTTTATAGAAATGTTCAATCAGCCGAATTTTCGCACAGTTAGAAGAAGCAGGTAATATAACCTATAATATCGACTGCTCAGATTTTTATTGCAAGTTTCAGATTTTTTATGACCCTACACAAATTCGAATTTTGAATAATTTTCTTCTACCGCTCTTATTTATGCAACAGATGATTATTTGTAAGCACCTAAGAAGTCTTTATAAAGAGCATAACTTACTATCTCACATAAAGGAAAAGCAGTCAAATCGGTTGCAAATTTCAAAAGTTATGAATTGAAGTTGTGAACTTTTGAATTAAAATGAGTTATGAATTTTTGAATTTAGTGCGAAAGAACTTTCGGGACGACCTAATAACTTAAATATTTGGAAGACAATGATGATTTTATAAAGCAAGGCTGAGGCTTCCATTCTATAATTCCAAAGGATTAAGCCGTCTCACCGATAGCAATCAACTTTCTTTCACCGAATTCGCGATTTTTTTTTGCTTTTGTTGTTTTACAGAAATTTTTTTTGTGGAAAGTTCTCCACATGTCCATTTCTTTGCTGAATTTCTGCCCTCTGTGAGAAGTACTTATTTCTTTACTTTTGTTTTCTGAATTCTTTGTCTTCGTTGTCTTTCACGGCTTTTTCCTGGCTAGTTGTCGACTTTTCCGCTTCGTTGACCTACCCCTTCTTACCTCTATGCAATTTTTCTGCTTCATTGCCAATCTCACAAAGACAACTCGCTTTGCATTCAGCAACTTTCTTGCTCTCTTCATATGTGTTGTTCTAGATTAATTTTAGCGTGCAAAAGTCCAAAATCTGCAACTCGAATATTATTATCAGCCAAACCCCCAGAACTTTCATCAAAATCAGAAAAAAATGCGAGTTGTGATTTGATTTTGTGTTTCAGAGAATGTGGCAATGAAACGACGGCGAATTGCGCGTCGTTTGGTGCGTATCATCTGTGGTCGACGTCTACCGCAGACATGGAGTACAGTACTCGTGCTTCTTTCTATTCATATGTACCTCACAGTACCCGTTATCATGGCCGCTGGTATTACGGAATCGATAACAGGTAATAATCACACTTATAGTCGCGTTTATTCGATTGGTCGCTTTGTGTAATTGCACCAGTGAAGGACGACTTACCGTAATGTTTTGAGAATCAGCAAAAACGACTCGAAAAAGTACTGCAAGAACTCGCACAAGGCAATTTATTAAAGCGAAGCTGAATTTTATGAGTGAAGCCTTTTTTCATGAGCCTTTGATTTGACATAGAAGTTCTCAGAACGCCTCGAAGCCTTTCGAGAAATTTTTTTCAACAGCGATTCCTCATTTGCATACAAAATGAGTACAGCGTCTGAAAGGGCAATTGCATCTCGTCTAGCGCTCAATAGTAGCTGTTTTTGGTGCAGGAAGCGTCCACTATTTGCATTCGTACACTATTTGTGAACTTCACTGGGGAATAAATGTGAATAAGCGTATTGCGAGCTTGACGAATTGAACGAAGTTTTTTTAATCAACGCCATAATAGCGGTATAGGCCCATATCCAACAAGACAACCCTTACTTACTTCTTGACCTTTCTAAATAAAATACATCTGCCTGCAGTGAAGTGCCTCAAGCAATCCAGATTTTTTACAAATCACTTTCAATTTTTCATGCAATATTTTCAGTCAAGACCTGCATAAAAAAGTCTCACGTAATTGAAACCCTAAATAATTCAGTGCTAGATTTTTGCCCTTCATGGTGCACTTTCCTTCTTACTTTTTGATAGCGCAGTTTTCCTACCTTATGTAGCATTTTCTTTCTCTTTTCTGCGATCTGACCTGCGCAAATAGAAACTATGAGTTATATCATGAGTTTTGTTGCACTTGAATAAAAATTTTTTCTACTCTTGGTGAAAAAATTTTAATTCTTACAATATGTACTTGGAAAAACGTAGCTTTCTAGCTTTCTGATACGTACATGCCACGCATAGGGAAACTTATCTTTTGGATATTTTCGAAATTCTTCCGATTTATTTTCAAAATTCCAACCTGCGTAGTTGAAGTTTGAACTTCAGAACTGCCCTTGTATCAGCACTGGCGCTCCTGATACATGCAAAATCTAAACAATCAATAAGGGACCCGTCATACGTTGCCAAATAAAAGCTCAAAAAAGCCCAAAAGCGCCAGAAAGAGTCGGAACCCCCTTCCGCGCGTACGTTTTGGGCTAAGGCATGTGTGTTGATTTCGCAACCATCTTTTTGGTTCAATTTCTGGCGCCTGCACATCAAAATAATGCCATTCTAGCAAATGTTTGTTTCTGCGTTCCCGGCTTTTTCTGGCGCTTTTGGGCTATTTCGGGTTCTTTGGGCGCTTTTGGGCTTTTCTCAGCGAAGTAGGACGGGTCAACAAAAACGAAGAATTTCTAAAAGTTGAAGAAAATGGATAGTGAAATGTAGTTACGGAATGGCACCTACACCTATTGAAACATATTCATGAAGATGGAAAAATGATGCCAATTAATAGCCCTTTGTCCCTTCTAAATATAACGATTCCATGCCAAATAGGAATTTGCCGTAGTTTCTAGACTTTTCCAATGAAAAGCGAAATGAAACAACATTACACCTAATGCTTTTCAATAGAGTAGCAACCATTAAACACGCCAAACAACTTTGCGACTAAAACGCCCTATACCATGCTGCGTATTAGAGAATCATGTATAAGAATTGCTTTCCGAACGGTGAAGCCGCTGAGAAGCTTGCTTAAAAATCGAGAAAGGTGCGCATATAATTAGGATAATATCTTTTCACAAACGGGCATCCAAATCTAACTTGTGAATTACTGGAAGTAACTCAAATATACCAATATTGAGATACGAAACTTTTAACACCTCATCATTTTCGATTTTTCAAATAACATTTCTAAAGTGTCACACTTTCAGGCCTCCTTCGACCTTATCGAGATCTCCAAAAGAGAGGAATTCTCCTTGGTGAAATAGACGACGATCTCCTTGATCTTTTCTATGAACATGCTTAATAATTTTTGTGCATATATTTTATAAACATTTATCCATATAAATGAGTGCATGGTATATATCACAGATTACAGTGAGTTAGTGTTCATAAAGAAAAGTGTAGTGGGTACGGGTACATCTGAATTCGTGGTGAGAAAAGAATAAGGGTAGTGGAAAGCGTGATTATGTGATTTGACGCAGATTAGAGCAAGGATTGCTTTCAAACTGTGCTTTCAATCGAGCCGAGCCTGTAGCAATGCGTTTATAGTCGCTTTGGTGGCAGCGCGCCGCATTCTGTCGACGCGCGCGGCGTGCTGTGCCGACGCCATGCCGGCGCCTGAGCAACTATGAACGCGGTCTAAATTTACTGGGGAAAAGATACCAGAAAGCTCAATCGGCTCAAATTATATGCATAGGTTAACTTACATATTTACAATGTGAAAGGAAAGTGAGATCAACTAAACCGATCGTTTATAAGGTTCTCGCAAGAAATGGAATGAGTATCAACATTCCGACGGTTAGATGATGCCGCTGAGTGGCACTGTTGCAGTAGTCATCATTATTGCAGAAACAGTACTTCCACCTGAAATGGAACTAAATATGTGCGGTACCGCTGAGCCTCCTGTGGAGAAAGCAACGATAGTTTTAGTAAGTAAAAGAGTGGCATCTTTTGTGTATGCTCTGAAATACTTTTATCAGAATGAATGAATGGCGGTCTCAGAGTGACTAAGGGCCGCATGCACTAACATGGCCGCGGGGAGGGGATCGCAGCTTAAAAGAAAGCTTCATATTTCGAAACTCCAGATACCTGGATTTCACGTTGTGTACCTATCCGTAAGTATTCCTACTATCCTTCACCATGAACATGTTGAACAGGAGCGAGAAGCCGTACAAACCTCATTTTCCAGCTTTTGTATGATCCCTGATGATCCCCGGCGCTTTTCTTTGAAGTCATTTTTCTTTCTCCGAAGTTAACGAAAAACTTCCAAAGTTGTGCAGATTATCTAACCCAACAGTGCTAAGCATGTTGCTGATAAGAACAAATGATGTTTTGAAGTCATGAAATTCTCGATGATCCACAGGTCGAAATTTGGGGTATACCTAAAAATTCGATTTTTCAAAAATTCATTTGTTCTCATCAGCAACATGCTTAGCACTGTTGTGTTAGATGTTCAGTATAACTTTGGAAGGTTTTCGTTAACTTCGGAGAAAGAAAAATGACTTTGAAGAATAGATGTTCGTCCCCCAGGGATCATCAGGGGATCCTACAAAAAGCTGGGAAATGCGGCTTGTACAGCTTCTCGCTTCTGCTCAATATGTTCATAGTGAAGGATGGTGAGAGCACTTACGGACAGGTAGACAGCGTGAAATCCAGATATCCGGAGCTTCAGGATATGAAGCTTTCTTCTGAAGCTGCGATCCCCTCCCCAGCGGAAATGTTAGTGCATGCGGCCCTAAATGATCTGCGACACCTCGAGACTCTCCAGACTCCTCTCTTCTTTCCATTCCCCCTCTAGTACCGTAACGCCACCCGCACATGTGATTCGCATGCTGATTACGCTCCTCAGGATTTGAAGAACTTAGAGCCGCATGCATTGACATTCCCTATGGGGAGAAAAATGCGGCTTGAAAGAAAGCTACGTATTCTGAAACTCAATATTCTGAATTTCATGCGGTCTTTCTTTCCGCAGGTGGCTCCACTACCCTCTATAAACATAATGAACAGGAGCGAAAAGTTGTACAAGCCGCCTTTTCTAGTTTTTTGCATGTCTCCGCCTGATCCCCGCCTGCCTACAGTCTTTCCTTTTTTCAAAGCTAATGAAAAACGTGCCAAAGTTTTACTGATTATCTGACCGAACAGTGCTAAGCCTTTCTGATAAGAATAATGATGTATTGAAGTCTTGAAATTTGCGATGTCGGTCGGAAAATGGGGTTTGTCAAAACTTCGATTTTTTGAGAATATGCTTCACGAACATGCCTTTCTTATCTGCTTATCGATTTACTGAACAAAGTTGTAGGCAGTTGTTTAAGCTCAAAAACACTGAACTTTGTTGCTTGTACAGAACTAAGAGCAGAATAGCTTCAGAACTAATCCCATTGAATTTTTGAGGGCAAGAAATATATCTCAGGCATTCAGGCTCGTAACTCTGTAGCGAATTCGATTTACTACGAATTTAGATTAAATTAATTTAGATTAATTAATTTAATCTAAATGTAATTAATTTAGATTACAGAGACAGTTTCTACATAAGCAATTTGGGAGCAGAGAAATGTATCATATCATTGCTTAGTAAACCGATGAGCAGATAGAGAGTTTTGAAATCACCACTTAAACACCTTTTCAATGATGTGCGTCTCATGGGTAAGTCCGGGTTAAGTCAAATACCTTCCGTTGTAAGGATAATTAAACGTAACCAAACGGCAAACTCAAGCATAGCATAATAAGGACAGAGGATGTGTCGAAGTCACGGAAATTGGATGAGCCAATCTTGACTTGTGGTTCATCGCAACTTTCATGACGGTACATCATATTCCTATCAAAAACATGCTTAGCACTGCTGAGTTGAATAATCAGTGGCCCTTGAAGGAACTTTGAGGATGCAGCCCAAAATTCCGTGAGATTCATCTTTTCCTAGCATTTATCTCTACAGTAAAATTATTTCTACCTCTTATGTAGTTCGCACACGACAGGTTTTGCCTCCTTTACCAAAAATGATTGATGAAATAATACTTTAGTGAAACAAATCGTTTTTCTACGCTTTCTGCAGCCAATAGCCTCAGCACAGAAGAAAACAAGAAATTCCTTCCAATAGCCTCAGCACAGAAGAAAACAAGAAATTCCTAAGTCCAGTCCGTCTGTTACCTCTTCGGTGGCTGTGCATTGTCTTGGTAGTCATAGCACTTTCCCGTCTCTATTTCTACAGCATTACCCGGGGAAAGTTCAAGTCGGCTTTGTGTCCTGAAGGGAGAATTATGCTGTAAAGGGAGAATTATGCTTATAGAAACTGACCAGCAGTCCGCTTTGTATGTCGTGTACTGAACCCCGGGTGTCATTGGATCGCTGATTTGGACGCAGAACTTGTCCGTCTGCAATTACGCAGTACTTTCACATCAACGTCAAATTTCGAAATTTTAGAGTCAGCATGGAATTGAATAATCTTGTGTAGGACTGCACTGTCTTGTCCATCTACTGAGACCGTTGTTATATAATACTTTGGTTATGTAAAAAATGGACTAGATTACATTTTTAGAAAATCTGCTTGAATTTATTCGCAATAACAAAACTTCAGGTTTGTAAATAGCAGATATTCGGAGAGTATGTGCAAGCAATACGGCTAGTCTTGGCTGCCACTGCCACCACGCCCCCTTCTTCTAAGCTATAGGGCTTTTACGCCCGCGAAGAATTCAAAATAACCCTAAAGGGGTAATTTCCATGTTCCGTTTTCTTTAAACCTGAGCATCTTATATATAAAGCTGAATGTCTGTTTGTCTGTATGTCTGTCTTTCTGTCTGTATGTCTGTCTGTCTGTACGTATGTTCCGAATAGAAAATTCCATTTCTGAACCGATCCGGACCAAACTTGGCACACATACACTACGGGCCCCGGCGGGTGTCATAGGCTACTTTTCGTCATCGATCGATATCGATTTTATCGATTTTCATCGATTTTTTTGCTGAGTTCACCTACGGGGCTGGGAGTTGGCACAGGGGGGTAATCGAGCATGGGGATTCCGAATACAATATTGGTTTTCAGGATTATCGATTACTTTTATCGATTTTATCGATTTTTTTGCAAAGTTTGAGCTACGGGGCTGGGAGTTCGCGTAGGGGGGTATTCGAGCATGGGGATTCCGAATACAATATTGGTTTTCGGGATTATCCATTACTTTTATCGATTTTATCGATTTTTTTGCAAAGTTTGAGCTAGGGGGCTGGGAGTTGGCACAGGGGGGTAATCGAGCATGCTGATCATCCCCAAGGGGGGTGATCAGCATGCTCGATTACACAGCCGTGCCAAATTCGAGCCCCCTAGCTCAAATTTTCAAAAAATCGATAAAATCGATAAAAGTAATGGACGATCTTGAAAACTAATACTGTATTCGTAATCTGCATGCTCGATTATCCCCTCTGTGCAAACTCCCATCCCCGCAGGTCAAACTTTACAAAAAAATCGATAAAATCGATAAGTAATGGACGATCCTGAAAACTAATATTGTGTTCGTAATCAGCATGCTCGATTACCCCCCTGTGCAAAATCCCAGCCTCGCATGTCAAAATTTACAAAAATCGATAAAATCAATAAAAGTAATAGATAATTCTGAAAACTAATATTGTATTCGGAATCCCCATGCTCACTTCCCCCCCTGTGCCAACTCCTAGCCCTGTAGGTGAACTCTGCAAAAAAATCGATAAAAATCGGTAAAATCGACATCGATCAATAACGAAAAGTGGACTGTGACACCCGCCGGGGCCCGAAGTGTATGTGTGCCAAGTTTGGTCCGGATACGGCGGAGCCGGGTAAGCCAGCTAGTTGCTTATAATCTTCAATTCTATTGTGCCGTAAAGGCCTGTTATGGTGGCAACTTTATTCGTATTAGCCTGACGTTTCGACGCTTTTGTCGTGCTCAGAGGCTTGAAGGCGACTCAAGGCATCATCCGTGAAACCAGACCACCAGATATCTAACTCAGCCATTTTTGACTTCATTCCAACATCGCCTGCAAAAATCCCCAAGACAGATATAATCACCCTTGTACCACCGCTCCCCCACAATGGTCGGTCGCCTCATCGTGGCGTGGGGGTGACACTGGGTGTCGAACTGCGATGCACAGCCGAGTGTATACTCTGGTAGGGCCTCCCAAGCTGTGAAGGAGTTCGACGTTTCCGGTTTCGGCCGGATGCCTAGCTAAGAACTGGCCACGCCAGATCCTCCGCCGTCTGGCTTCTTTTGGTCGCTAGGCGGTCCCTCCCCGCTCCAAGCCCGGGGTCAGCGATCGCCCCGTGGAAATCAAGAGTAGGCCTAGTAAGCCACCTCTTGTAGGGGAACAAATTTTATTACTCAGACAGCAAGAGGATTTAGAAAAAACCCTGTACATCGGATCCCGCCTACGGCGCCGGGTGGTAGCAAGAACGATGTCAGGGTACTCAGGGCGCCTTTCGGAATGGACAAAAACGACACGTCTGCCCGGACGACACGCCATGGAGACTGCCTCATGCTCTGCACCTACAACGCCTCCACAAACGCCGACCTCCACGCTCTTCTCGACGCTGCGAAGCACATCAACTACCACATCATCGCTCTGCAGGAAACGAAGTCCAGGAAGAAGGACGTGCGACAGATGAGTGATGGGACCCTCATCATTCGTGGTGAAAAGGTTCCATCACGAAACGTGGGAGGCGTCGGCTTTGTCGTCCACCCATCTATCGTCCATCTTGTCGATTCGCACGAGATCCTATCACCTCGACTAGGCATCCTACGACTACGACCTCCACATCAGAAGACCATCACATCATCAACTGCTATTCTCCAACATCAGCAGCTGACGAATCAGAACTAGATGCTTTCTACGAAGATGTGGAGGAGGTCGTCCGCAACGGGAAGTCCTTTTATAAGTTTATTGTGGGCGATTTCAGCGCGAAAATCGGGATGCCACTGGAAAAGGAATATAGGATCGGGAAGTTTGGATATGGGCTCCGGAACGAAAACGGCAACCGTCTTGTTGGGCTTCTCTCCGCCGCACGACTTTTCCATGGAAATTCCATCTTTATGAAGAAAGAACATCGCCGGTGGGCATGGGAATCGCCCAACGGAACGACCCACGCGGAGATCGACCACATTCTCACCAACCGAAGGTGGAGCTTGCTCGATATCTCAGTAGTTCCATCCTTCTGCAGTGGCTCCGATCACCGCCTCCTTCGAGCGAAGGTACGATTCAGTCGAAGGCTGGAAAAGAAGGTCTGCCACAGTGCCGCAAGAAGGAAGAATGTCGTTTATGACGGTAACAGGCTGGAGGAGCTCATATCAAGTTGTGACTGGCCCATCGAGGAGGACCCAACGTACGGCTACGACCGGCTTCTGAAAGGATTGCGAGCCTGCGGAGAGTGCGCCTCAGTGACTTCCGAGAAGAATGTTGAACGCATTTCGAAGACCACCAAGGAAATGCTTGAAAGAAGAAGATTTCTGAGGCAGGATCCGAATGCAACCCATCTCGAGCGACTGATAGCCAACGCCAGTTGCAGAACAGTTTTGCAGGAGGATCTCAGGAAGTACAGGCAAGCCAAGATACTGGAAGCAGCCGAAGGAAGACGAAGTCTCAAGAAGTGCCGAAGGGACCTCTGTGAATATCGCGTGCCGCTGGCTGCACTATTGAACAAAGACGGGACTCCGACTTCTTCCCGATACAAGATGGAATCTATCGCGAAGAGCTTCTATACCAACCTCTTCCGCTCATCAACACCCTTGCCGATGCCCGTTGTTCCCACTGGAGAAGTACCACCACGAATTCTACCTGCTGAAGTGCGCACAGCGATTCAGACCATGAAGACGTCCATGGCTCCAGGACCAGACCATCTTTCCGTCGAATTTCTCCGAGCTGGAGGACAACGTCTACACGAGATCCTCGCGTCGCACCTAACAACTTACCTTCAGAAGGAAAGGATTCCCGACCAGTGGAGAACATCAAGAACCGTCCTTCTTTTCAAGAAGGGTGAACGGGAAGATCTTCGGAACTACCGTCCAATATGCCTGCTGAGTGTGCTGTACAAGCTTTTCACGAAGATTTTCCTCGCTCGCATATCTAGGACACTGGATGAAGCCCAACCCCAAGAACAAGCTGGATTTCGCAAAGGATTCAGCTGCATGGACCACATCCAAACGGTTTCGGGGGTCATAGAAGTCTGCCGGGAATACCGACTGCCTCTCGTCCTAACCTTTGTCGACTACGAGAAAGCCTTTGACAGCGTCGAAACCAACGCCATCCTGTCTGCGCTAGTCGATAAAGGAGTGGACCCAGCCTACGTGAGGACGTTAGCCGACTGTTACAAGGACTGTACAACGACGATGCAGCTATTCCATCGCCCCCTGACCATCCCAGTTGAGAAGGGAGTCAGACAAGGCGACAACATCTCGCCGAAACTGTCCACCGCGGCCTTGCAGTGGGTGATGAAGTCACTAGACTAGGACGAGAGAGGGGACGAGTTGATGGGAGATCCCTGTCGAACCTTCGTTTTGCGGACAACATCGTTCTCTTTTCAAGCAGTATCACTGAAGCAGGGACGATGCTGAAGGAACTGAACGAAGCAGGGAAGAAGATCGGATTGCGAATCAATCGGAAGAAGACTCAGTTCATGAAGAACGCCCTTTGCGAAGATGCAGAAATGGAATTGGAAGGCACCCCTATCATGGAGACGTCTTCTTACGTGTATCTCGGACGTTCGATGAACATGGAGAACGACTTGAGGGAAGAACTTAACAGGAGAAGAAGAGCAGCCTGGGCCGCCTTCGGGCCTCTGAAGGAAGCCACCGACCAACTGTCGGACCCGGAGGTTCGTGCCCACCTGTTCGACTCAACCGTTCTCCCGGCGCTCTGTTACGCAGCTGAGACTTGGGCTGACACCGTCGCCACTATGAAAGCTTTAAGGACCACCCACAGAGCGCTAGAGCGTAGTCTTATGAAGATGACCCGACACAAACAACATCTCGTCGGACTTCGCAGTACGGATATGAGGAGAATGTCTCGTCTTCGTGACCCAGCGGATTACGTTGCGAAAGCGAAGCATCGATGGGCCGGTCACATCATGAGAAGAACAGACGACAGATGGACACTAAGAACATCGGAGTGGATTCCTCGCGAAGCAAAACGTCCCCGAGGAAGACCACCAACGAGATGGGCAGACGTGTTCGTGGAACGGATGGACCAGCTGAGAAATCAGCTGGATACGTGCACCTGACTCGTGGACGCAGCCACCGACGTCAGCCAAGAAGATCGTGGATGTCAGAAGCGAGGGACAGGGAGAAATGGAAACTTCTAAGCTGGGGCCCGCACGTCACGTGAAGCCGGGTCATCTAAGTATCTAAGTAAGTTGTACCACCGCTATTCGAAATGTCCGCACGTTTGGATCTGACAAAAGTTGGCGGACAAATGAACGCTACAGTAGAATGCGCATCAAGTTGTTATCCAGTATTTATAGCTCACACAGTGGCATATACGAAAGAAACTCCGCAGTTATAGACAGGCGCTCATTCTTGTTATTCGTTTCTGGATTTTTTGCGGATATACAGAAAGCTTCTAGAATCCTCCTAGCCGTAATAGCTGTTTCAAACGCCAAAATTTTGCATTTGACTGCAAAATCATTTCCATAATGCGCGTCACTCCTATGTTTGCCTAATGGCGTTACTAAACTCTTCCTTCTCTTGCTTGCCAGATGTTCTTTCAAACGTACGCTTGACACTTTACCAGCTTCGCCAATATAGTTTACTACTACTTATATTCTGCTTATCACTCATTTGTCCGCCAACTTTTGTCACATCCAGAGATGCGGACATTTCGAATAGCGATGATGCAAGGGTGAGTGTATCTGTCTTGTGAATTTTTGCGACACGAAGTTGGAATGAATTTTGAACTGGCAGAGTTAGAGAAGATATTTGGTGGTCTGGTATTACGAATGATGCCATGAGTCGTTTTCGGGCCTCTGGGGACGGTGAAAGCGTCAAAACATTGGGGCAGTACGGATATATCTGCCACCATAAGAGACCTTCATGGTACAATATATTTGAAGGATATAAGCAATCCCAAAAATCTTCTCGGAGGGCAGGATAATGCCACGCCTCTTCGCCAGTAAAAAATCTGTGCCCTCCCCCTGGAAAAAACTGCCGGCCCGCCGTTGGTATGTAACTGCGGGCCAGCTAGCCTATGTAGATGAAATAAGCACGTCAATTTCAAACTGTGACTGTTGTTTGCGAATAAAAACCTGAGGAAATAATGAAGTACCCCCCCCCCCCTCTCCCGCCCCGAGAATGGGTGGAGAAAATAATTTACTATGTTACAGTGTAGGTTGTTGACTTATGAAAAATCCAAATAATATATGAAAATTTTTCAAAGAATTAAACTACTTTTGCGGAAAAACTTTTTCGGGAAAGTGACTTCCGCCACGCTTTCTTTCTTAACATTTTGGAGTTGAGGGTGCGAAAAGTCGGGAACCATCTTAAAAAATTGTGGAAGATTTCCGTTGTCCCCCTCCCCCCTCGAAAAAAATTTCGGACTGCCACTTGAATGTACATGCCCCCAGGTACCTAAATGCACCTTTCAAAAGAAGTCTAGGCCTACTTGGTCCTGCTATTTGAGGTTCCGTGTCAATTACGGTTATGAAAGTTATTTATCAAAATAAAAGTATGGAATAAAGTGCAGAGAGCGAATTTCGCGATTTTAAGCGGAAATCCTATCGCTACAAAATTTCATTTATATGCGATTTTGATGACATTTCAGCAAAAAGGAAATATTTTTATCACTTTTTGTGTGTACAGTGTAGAAACAGACCTTGCATTGGTTGTTCCGATTATCACAAGTGGAAGCGGCGGTATTCTGAAGTGGGTAAGATCCATGCCATCCATTACACTGGTGGCACACTAGTGTGTCAACATAGCCTAAAAAACAACTTGAAATGCGGATTTGAAGTGGAAATGAGAAAATTTGATTACTTACCGATTACAGCGACCAGCAGAACGGCGAAAGGAGACATGTTTTGTTTAAAAATTCAGATAGAATTATATTTTGAGGAAGATACGTATCCAAGCAGCACGTAAATAGAAAATTCGGAAATGGCGGTCAGCTCTTTCTGGAACGTTTTTTTTCTTAGAAACGAGATGCTCAAAACGACTTTTGGTAACCATGGTAAGAATGATTTCTCAAGAATAATGACGCCACAACTGGTTTTTCTTGAATGGTGCTTACCGTAATCTGGGCATTACGATATTTGTTATTGTGTGCGTACACTCACGCGAGATATTAACATAGGAAAGTGTTTGGCAAAGAAAATCACAGAACCACTAAGTGGCAAGAAAAGTCCTTGTTGACAACAATGGCGGATGAGGGGGGGGGGGGGAGAAGAGGAGTGCGTAAGAACGAGTTTTCAAAATATTTGAAGAGTAACCCAAATGAGTCATGAAAGAAGTCAATGTCATGCATTTTATTTTTAAACAACTGAAATTTCTTGGAGGTAAAAAAGGAACAAAATTAACTCCGTAAGAATTTCCTAGAAGCGTAGAAATGTGAAAGTTCCCGAAATAATTCTTGGAATGTGTTTGAGGGCATAATATTTGTCATTCTCCCCTTTTCCCCATTACCCTCAAAAAATTTTTTCTTACTACCTCCACTTGCATACAAAAGAAATCTTCTGTTATATTACTGCCGAACACGCAGAGCGCAAACACACTGATTTGCTTGATAAGATATTCAATTTTTTAATGAAAAGTCTCCTTCTAGAAAAGAAATCAACCATATGCCTAGCATATTCAACAAGTGACAGCTGAAATACTAAGATTGAATTTTGCGAAAGGTCAATTGACTTTTGCTCACTCACACACTTTGCAGTAAGCACTTTTACTAATCCTAAGGAATGAAATGAAGAAATGAAGAAGAGAAACGTTGAAAGGCAGTGACTTTTGTGCATTGCACGCTTCATTGTGTTCATTGTGGAGGTTATGAATTAACCACAGTAATGCATGAGTAGATGGGCGGAGTGAATAAACATCATATGTTATGTTCGCTAAGTTCCTAAAAGATTGTTGATATAGGATGACACATAAGTTTCCAACAAAGCATAAAGTTATTTTTTCAAAAATTTCCAAAGAAACTAACTATTAGAGGATCTAAAACACCATAATGAAAGTTATCAGAATGATCATGATCATCTGCCATAAATTCTCAAGTTTGAAAAAGGGTTATAAAAAAGATTGGATATAAACTCAAATTTGAATGAAGCACCCATACACTAACAATATTTTTGCTCTAAACATTTTTTGAAAGGCGCATGATTCTGCTTTCATAGAAGTGCAGTGAAAATGGAAATTCACAGAAAATCTTGCGCGAGACTTTTGCTCCCATCTAAAGCCATGAGCATACCTCACCCAGTTTTAGTGGACAATGCCAAGAGGGTACTCTCCTGACTTTTAGATTTTAGTCGTGATTTGGCAGAGTACCAATTGTTACTAGACTTGCACTCTACATCTCACAAAATACGAGAAGCAATGAACAGTGTGCACTTATAAAGTGCATATTTCAAATCTGCCAAAGTTGGCACTTTTTTAAATCGCGCCGCGACTGAAGTCAATCAGTTCTTCAGTCATACGTTCAGAATTATTCAGAATCAGTTCACTTTTGCCAAGCGGAAAGTCAGTAGCTAGTTAGTAGCTCCTCATCTCATATTCGCAAATGAAGCACCTAACAATATGATCGGCTCCCAGATTCTTGTTGAGGCGGGTCGCGGACTTCCCTAATTTCAAGGATGAGCTTAACGAGAGAATACGAAGTACACTGCTGTAGTGTGGAGGTTTAACAAATTTGTCCTGAAAATCAGGGAAGTCCGCAACCTGCCTCCACACGAATTCGAGAACTGATGATAAATATGCACCCAAGCATGTGTGTTGAAATGTGTCCATACCTACACATATCCAAGAAGTCATGTGACACTTCATGGTTTCACAGTGATTGACTGGCACTCAGCAGCAGTTTTGAACGTTTTCGACCTTTTCGAAGCGCCTTCATCCTTTTAATTCTTTTTATTTGGAGGAAAATGGATAGGGCATCAAATAATGATTTATTTAATGTCAGTGTTAGTTCCTCCGAAAAGTGATGAGGAAGGCCAAAGCTGAGACGGATGGACAAAGTCAAAGCAGACTTGAGAGGACTTGAGATAGATGAACAACAAGCTGTTCGCGAAATGCGAAGGAGCCTACGAGACAGATAGGCCTCGCACGGGTGCGTCAGAGCCCGTGACTCAGACAATCACAGGCTCTCAGCGGGCCCCACCAAAAGCGTCGTTGCCTTATCGCAGCCACTGTCGCTTCCCGCTGAGAGCTTTGTCGGAGCTTTGTCGGAGCTTGTCGGAGCGGGCTCGCTGCCCGCTGAGCCCGCTCCGACAAGCTCCGACAAAACTCCGACAATGCTCTCAGCGGGAAGCGACAGTGAGGCGATGAGGCCACCGCGCTTTTGGTGGGTCTAGGCGGTGGCTTTGTGGCTGCCGGCTGAGAGCATTTGATTGTCTGAGGAGCTACAGTACCAACACTGCCGCCTTGAAATCCTACGGTTTAAACGCGTTGTCGCGCCGGAAGTGCCGCATCGCGATAGTTCGCTTGTACTTCAACCAATCGCATTCTAGTTTGAATATTTGGAATCAGCGCCTTCTGATCTATCTAAAAGTGCCTTTAAAAATTTCAAAATCCTGTGTGTAAAGATTTTTTTCTGGGCCTTCGGCGTTATAAACGCATCGTCGCGTTGGTATCGCCGCATCGGCATAACTCTTTTCAACTTCAATCTATTGAATTCTAGTTTGAATATTTGGAATCAGCGTTCCCTAAGCTACCCAAATAACTTTTTAAAAAACTTGAAATCTTGATTTTAAATTTTTTTGGCTCCATGCCAGAGGCGAACTAAACGCTTTGTCGCGCTGGATGTGCCGCATTACGTAACTCGATTCAAAGTTCTTAAGCTAGAATTTTGATTTGATATTTGAAACCGGCATCTCTTTGTCTACTCATTAGTCAATCCAAACTTGATAATTTCATTTGCTTTGGTATTTTTTTACGTTATCAACGGATAATGGCTGCGATATAAACGCCATGAAGCGCCGAAAAAGCCGGATTGCTGTAACTTTCTTTTCCTTCTGCATATCAAATTTCTGAACGGATATTCGGAACCAGCGAAGTCTGAGCTATCCAATCATGTAGTACATCTCGTTATTTGGTGAAAGTACGGTTGTCTTTGAGTCTTGGCATAGCAGATTAGGTACACGCATTTGAAAAGGTGTTTGAGACACACTTTCTATTGAGCCCCAGGTCCACTTCCTCAACTTCAGTCGCGCGATTTGGCAAAACTCCAGCTGTTTAAAAGTCATCAGTAAGTGCTTTGAAAGACAGAAGATAGAGCATTTTGTTGATTTACTAAAGTTATACAAACTATGCACCGTCTGTGACATGGTGTCTAAAGACATCTGAGGCCGTATTAATCATTGATACCTTAGGCCTAAGGCATACCTCGCGCGATTCCGTCGCTGCGCGATTCGGTACAAAAGCGACTCTTCGTAATTCGTCGTTAATGGGCTGTCTTTGGTCAGAACATGCTGCGCTTGCAACAACCTACAGAAGGTACCCAAATATGCCTTCAAGATGCGCGACCGGTAAATTTGTAGAAATCTGGCAAGTTGCCAAGTCGCATGAAAGTGGCGATTCGGCCGAGTCGCGTGAGGTATGCCTTAGGCCTTGAATCCTACTTCCAGGTATTTTTATCACTCATTACCAGTGATAAAACTATATGATAATGAGTGATAAAGCTAGCTGGAAGCAGGATTTACCTCAAGGTATCAATGATGAACACGGCCTCTGGCGAATTGCCAAATCGCGCAGCGACTGAAATTGCTTGAAGGATGCTCGGGGCCTAAGGTGGTCTGTTCTCCAACTGCTTACTAGGCTGCGTCTTGGGTAAGTATGTGGTCCTGTGGCTCTTGTCTTTGACTAATCTTCTTAAATTATTTTCTTCTGGCATTTGACTCTGAATATGTACATTATGAGGAACTGCCTTTTCAGGCTTTAAAAAACGCTTGATTTACCAAAACATGTGAAACTCAACGACCATATCGACAATTCGGTGAGCCTTGTATACCTGTTCTAACGGAAGGGCTGGTACGATTTCTGCTTGGAAAGATGAACACATGATTGAATTGCAGCGATTATAGCATACTCATATTTCAAAATGGCCTTCTTTGACATTAATGCTGACCTTCAAACTCTTGCCAAATGCACCTGTCGTTGCACGCAGGTGAATGTTATCAAGTTTGCTCCACTACTCCAAGAAAATTATTTCTGTGGTTTAAAAAATGTGCAGCATGATAGAGCATTTGGCTACAGCAAAGTGCTGTGAAGAAAAATTCTGCAGGGCTTAGGAACGAAATCCAAGAAATTCTCCAAGAAGTGATTTCTGACAAACGCAATTGTTAGGGTTGCAAGTTCAAGACATCGCCTTCATTGATGGAGGTGATGTGTTTCAGAATTTCATTCTCAGTTAAAAAATGAAATATTGAAATCAAATTATTGGTTTTCCTGTATAGAAAAATCAATAAAAAATTCGACATTAAACTCTTGTAAGTAAAGTAATTTTGGGTTCGTAAAACTATATTCTGCACGAGATTATCGCTGCAGTTTTGTTTTGATTCTAAATCAAAATCACAGTCTTCTAAGTCAAGGTATCTTTTGATGTAATCTGTGTAAGGAAAAGGTGGAGAAGTCTAAGGATTAAAAAGAGACGAGAATTTTCCAATTGAATAGAAATGAAGGTAGAAACAACAGAGATCTCTCAAGATTAGACGGATTTTCTTCAGCCATGCCTTTCTTAGAATTCAGATAAATGTCCTCCAGTTGTTTCAAAAACTGAACTGTGAGATTATGAAAAAAAAGAAGCCGTGGCCTGCCTTTTCAAAATATGTTAGTGGGTGTGGCTGAAGTGGTCGCGACGGAACTAGTCTTTACATAGGA